CCCCCCCCGCCACCACTACGGCTTTCAAACTGCAACATTTCACAGGGGGCACTGACCTGCTTCCAACATATGTCCCTGAACGTCTGCTGATGCAAGTCTGATCAGTTCTGTAGCCTGAGTTGAAATTGCTGCTCCCCCTACAGTTGCCTCATGCTCCTGGCCACAAGAAAATAGTCTCAATGTTGTTATTTTTCCATAAGATCATCTCGATCATCTGGTAAAAGCTATAATTGACACTTAGACCACATACACGTACTTCATGTCTCACAGTTTGTCAGTTTAAGGAGGAGGGGTTGCCCTGTTGTTGAATGGAATAGGCAGTGTTCAAAATAAGTTCAAAAATATTTACTTCTTACATAAAACTTTTTATAACTGACAAAAATCCTTTTTGAAAACTAAAATGTCACGGCAAGACAGCCACTGCCCTGATTACATAATGTTTTGTTTGTGGAATATACCACATGCCTGGAAGGAGAAAGTCATCTCTCCTTTTCTCTTTTTTTTTTTTTAATATTCAATAAACTTTCCAAAGTACAGAAAATACACATTCATTTCCTGCAAGCAAGAGGGTTGTTTGTCTCAGTCAAGAAAAGAAACACTACTTGATTGCTAAGAGAAAGAACATTAGGAATAGGCATATTAAGAGATCTAAGGCTTATTGTGATTATGCGAACCATTGGATATGAATCATATTAAAATTTTATGGGCCTTTAATGAAGAGATCCATGATGTACCAATGACAGAAACCATGGAATATTTTTAAATGTACAAATCCTTTTCTTTTTAAAAATTGTCTGTTGCTAACAGTTCAAAGGCAAAAACAATTATTTTTTTAGCAATCTTCTGCACTGTTATACCTTTTGGAGAGTGCAAAGCAAATACAGTTTCAAATCAAGCCGTGTAGATATTTTCTTTATGCACTTCAAATGAAGACTCTTAAGATCTAAATTCAGGTATTAAGCTACCTACCTGTCCTTTTTGGAAATGAATTTGAAACAACACTGTATGAAAGTCCATTTCAAGATGAAAGTAAATAAGACTTTTTTTTTTAATACTCGGATACAATCTTGAAAAGACATCTGATGTGAGTGTTTGAAGAATGCTTCTGAACTTTCAGAGCAGTCAGTCTTTCTGCGATTGAAATTAACTGAGAGTAAAACTGGGTTAGTGCATAGATGACAATAGACCCATCAGTGCAATGACCTCACTAGAAGCTGTGGCTTAAAAGATTTGTAGGTTTTGTCTGTAAGAAGTTTTAGGCTTACCTAACCTTTAGTCAAGTTATTGGCAAAACTTATATAGACTTCAACGGGAAGAACTGGGAACAACAGGAATTCCAACAGGAATTGGGCCCCTTGTCCAGGGCAGTACAAAGAGCATATTCTCAAGTACAATATACTCCCTCTCATTGTCACGGTCAGATAACACATGCTCATTAAGCAAATGTTGAAGTAAAGCCAAAAAGTGAAATTTGCTGATAATAATATGTATGCAAAGATGTTAATAATTAGCTAAGAATGCATATCATAACAACACACAGCATGATGTTTTCTCTGTTCTCTCATACAATACAGAATGATTCAGTTTGAAGTTAATTTAATTCAACTCCTGGAACAAAAAGTAGAGTCTTTTTTATATATATATAACTCACTCCTTTCTTTTCTTTCTTTTTCATTTGCAAAAGCAATATGGTTTGGATAAAACTGAGAGGCTCAGTCAATAGGCATTTCCTGAAAATACTTTCCATTAAAACTTGAATATGGGTCTCCAGAATGAAAACTGACACTTGTTTTTTTCTTTTTTTTTCCAGCCAAAGGTTTCTATGATCCTGAGTCTTTAAATGAGGCTGCCTGGACCAGCGCCCAGAACCAGCTAGTTCCATGTGATATTTGTGGGCATACTTTCTTCCAGACAGACTGATCATCCACCAGAAGACATGTAAACTAAAACCTGCAAATTAAAGTGGATGTAGCATACATGCATACATGTGTATGTATGTGTGCATGCATGAGTATACACACACATGCACACACAACTTTCAACCACACTGTGAGAGAAATACTATACAGATGGATAGTGCATTGTCAGATCAAATGATCTGAAGGTTTCCAGAGAAAGCTCATCAGTAGCTACTGCAGTGTGAGGTCAAATGCAGTGATTTTTTAGCCCAGCAGTAGCAGAAATGCATCTTCATTTTGGATGTTCAGGTAGCATCCTCCTTGAAATCACAGTTTGAGATGGAGGGCATAAGGATACTTGAAAGCAATGTTAAATTTCATCTTTACTCTTCTGATCCTGTGCTTTGTTGGGTACATGGAATATTCAAATGAAGAATCCTCACCAGCTGTTTTTTGAATGACTGTCCTGTCTAGATGTCTGTTGCCTGAATGTGATATATTCTTCAGCCCTGCTTCTTTCACAGCCTTTCAGGTTTAGCAAGCTGGACCTTGGAAAGTAGTTGTGCTCTCTACATGCATTTCCCATTCTGTGAAGCATATTTGTTTGCTATTCAGCAAGGGACAAAAAGAAATGACCTATGGCTGTCTTTCACTGCATAGATCCTCAAGAGGGTTTCCTACAGAGATCCTTCTTGTTGTCTTGCCCTTCAACAGATCCATGAGAGTGGGAAAGATGGTGAAATGTCAGGAAACTCCTTGTCAGCAGGGACATTTGGCTACATGTCTTGCTCTCAGTGAATGCTGTCACATACTATTTCAGAAACATGGGACAACTTATAGGAAATCAGCATTTCGATGAGGAGTAATTCACTGAATCTCAGTGGAAACAAAGCCAGAGTGATATTGGTCAGGAAAATGAATACTTTAAATAGCTGGCTCAAATTTTGTCTTCCCTTCCATCAAAGACTTGTCTAATCACTGTAAAGACTTCCAGCTGAATTAAAATAATTCCAAGCTGAATAGCTTGAGTAATTAGAGAAACCCCATCTTGCCTCCATCAATGCAGCCAAG